CCAAGTGACGTACGTTCAGTACAAACGTTATTAGAAGACAGTTTAAAACGTCTCAGGCCGAATGCAGTTGGCTTGGTAGATAGTTTCGATATGAGAGATGAAATTTTGAGTTCGCCGTTGGGAGCTTATGATGGCAATGTTTACGAACGACTTATTGAAGAAGCCAATAAAAGTCCGTTGAATAAAGAACCTGTCAATGAATCATTTCATAAATATTTAAAACCGTTCTTACTATCAAATTTGTAAATCATAATAGGTATAAGGATTTGAACAGTAGTTAATTGTGTTAAATATTATTGTTATATGTTGGATATTTGAAAGTGGTTTGGTACTAATATATTATACTTCATGGAGTTTGTTTTTTTTAATACTTAATTAATTTATAAATTATAATTATATCTTTATTATTTTTACCAAATGGCATAATATACAAAGCGATTATATTTTTGTATTATTTCACATACATACTAAATGATTTTATGTGTGTATCTAGTTTTTAGTAAACTATATCCTATTTTATATTTTAAAATGTTTTATTTACCTATAATTTTCTAATATATAATTAGAAAAAAACTTCACACATGTACTATACTGTATTTATTACATTGTTAAACTTAATTTTATGCTATTCTATTGTAACTTGAATTATAATAGCTAACAAAACATTGTTGAACTTATGTATTACTTATATTTATTTTAATAACCCATATTTGCCTTTATGTGTGTATGTAATTTCAAACGCAAGTATACAGGTTGATCCAACCGGTGTAAGACAGTATTTTTCTGGAAAAAAAAATGAATATTTTATGAATTTTTTTTTCCTTTAGATGTAGGTACATTTATTACTACATTTTAAAATTTTTTTTTAAATGTTTAACTACGACCATTTTAAACAAAACAAATATGCTTAGGTTTTTTTTTCAATGGGAACATATGTTATTAAGTTATTTCACAAATATGTAGAAATTTTTTTAAAAAATTAACTCAAATATGAACGTCAGAACTAACAACGGTGTTTTTATAGATTTATGGCGTGTAGTGGTGAAACCAGGTGAAGTGAAGTCATGTTTACACACTTTGATTATCTGCTAGTAATAGATTGTTTTTTCTAACACTAACATTCATAGTTCATATTGAAACGAACAGTGCTCACAAACAAAACATCATATCTTTTGGATGTTTTTAAAATAGTGTATAATATTTACAAATGTAAATATATTTTTTTACTAGAAAATAATGTTTTGAAACTTATTAATAAATAAAACCCGATTTTGGTTATGATTCATTTATTTTGTATGTAATATATTTTGATTGTCAAGCGACGGTCTCCATTGATAAATTAATACTGCAGTTGTTTGACAATGTTGTATAATATACAATCTCAGGTGAATACATGAAAATGAATGGTCACACCATAATATAATTGACAAAATGTGCAGTCTAAAAATGAAACTTTTGCCAGTAGTTTCTATATAAATGTCAAAATCAGTCATAATATTAAATGTAATTTTTAGTTATTGTATAAATGTTAAAAGCAACCATATTATATGTATTATTACTATCCATAAGTATAAGTAAATAATACGTATAATTAATAACAAAAAACTCATTATAATTTAGTGCAGTCTTAGATGTTATTTTTCAGGTTGTCGCCTTTAATTAAAAAATATTCATTACGTAGTTTACACACCAATTTCAAATAAAAGATATATGATTTAATTAAGAATATAATAATAATATATTTTATTATCAACCTACGTGGACGTTATTTTTTTCTATACTGTTGTCAATGTTCTTTCGTTATTGCTAAGACTAATATCCGGCAGAACCGTGTTTGATGTAGATAGATAAGAACTGCTTGTTTGTCATTATCTAAAGGCAGGTAGGTGAGTAGCCAGTTAAGTGTTAGAGATTTAGGTCTGAAAATTATACCGGAACTAGATCTACAATAGGCCTATAACATAATATATAGTTTTCATTGAATTATGTCAAAATGTACTATTTCTATTGGATTTTCACAAAACAAACCAAGTGATCTTTAATAAGATTGAGACGTTATAATGTTTACACACTATGATGATTAGTTAATCGTAGATTTTTTTTCCATCACTACCATTCATGGTTCATATTGAAAATATGTAGATATATTTTTTTACTAGAAAATAATGTTTGAAAAATTCTAACCTTATAAAATAAAATAAAACCCGATTTTGGTTATGATTCATATATTTTGTATGTAATATAATATTAATATTCTGATTGCCAAGCGACGGTCTCCTTTGATAAATTAATACTGTTGTTTAACATGTTCTAACAATGTTCTAAAATATACAATCTCACACGAAAAATAAATGTTCACACTATATGAATTGACACAATGTGTAGTGTGAGAATGAAAGGTCTGTAGTAATGTAGTGTTACCTGTTCACCTAAACTTTAAAAAAACCAACCAGCTGTGTAAATTAACGAAAACAACTACATACAATGCAAAAACCTATTAGATTCTGGTTGTTCGGTCGGAATATAAGCCCATCCAAAAGTCGCAAGAAGAAAGCTTAGTTTCAACAGCCAACAAATAAATATATCAAGTCGATGACTGTCTAAGAAATTCAATCAGCTCAACGATTTCAGTAAGTATTTCCATTAAACCCTAAAAATTGTAATTACGTTAAAACTAAATAAACGCATGAGCTAATGAGCCGATAGTTTTAGTGTGAAAAAGACAGTAATAAGTAAATTTTATTTGCAAGTATTTTTATTTTGGGTCTTAACTGCGTCCTTTAAAAACGTTTTCGAGCAAACGATTTTGTTATAATATTGATTTTTACCAAACAGATAAAAATATTGCGTTTTACACAATCCACACTTTGGAGAGAATTCTATAATAGATTTAAAATGTTTTCATTATTTGGCTTGATGTCTTACTTTTGTGAGATATTTTACACAATGGCGTGGATCCAAGGGGGGGGAGCAAAGGGTGAGTGGCCGCTGACGATTAGTAAAATATACGATTAATTCGATAAATTTTCATGGCAAGACAAACCCTTCAATTCTTAACAATATAACATACAAAAAAAAAATTTCGTTTTATTTTTAAAGTATTTCAATAACATCTGCCATTAGTTTGCTTTGTTATTGATTTATATATATGGTGTATAATATTATTGGTATATACGTACACAGGCTACAGCAATCTTTTTTTTATCGTTGACATTTTTTTCCGGTATTAATTAAGCATAATTGTTTGTATTTATTTATACTCAGCTTTACAATAGTAGTGTATACTGTATCGCTGGTTAAAGAAAAATATTAGGACAACGACAATTTCTCTTCCCACCCTCTCAATAGACCTTATCACAAGACAGTCAGCACTCGGAGGTCGGCCACCCAAAATATAACAATAACAGCATCAGAAGTTGTGTTCTATAAAAAAATCGACGAACGACGGTTGGGTGACAACTTCCAAATTAATGTTTAGTAACAGACAAATTTTTCAAAATTAAATAGACGAGACGATTTTGTTCTGTAATTAATTTTCTACTAATTATTTACTAATACCGTGTGTTCATAAATAAATATTTATGTATGCACTTTGATGTATTTCAATTATTATAATATTCCTGCACATCGAACTTGCATATTTTATGCACTTAATATGCAAATTGCATATGCAGTTTGCATATTTCGAAAAAGAGATATAATTACGTTTACAGGATATGAAAATAAATGATCTAAACAATAAATAAGGATCTTATAAATGAATAGCATGTCGTTTTCAAAAAAAACAACATTAGAGAGTGGTTTTCTATGTTAATTTGTGTGCTGAATGTGGAAATTTTTTTTTAAAAAATCCTGAAGACATCGTTGACCTTGAAAAATTAATTTCAAGGACAAGTTCTAATTTTTTGCTGTAATTATTATTATATTATTTGCAGAGAAATTAAATGTTTTTTTTTAAATGGACGTGAATACAAATTAGAATTTCAAAATATATATTGTGAAATGTAGACAAAGGCTATTGCGTGAAATTTTCTTAATTTATTTAAAGTAAAATAAAAATACCTACGAAATAATCGTAATTATTATAACATAACTTATAACATTATTTTATTTTATTGACAATATAATATATAAACTCGATACTGTTTCTGTATTTTTCTTAATTTTTTTATTTCTCAATTTTCTTACTTGTATTCTCGTGGGTACAAGTACAGACTTGTACCGTTGCTAGTCTACTATTTCGTATCAAAGGGAATTGCCAAAATGTAAACAATGACTTGGCGTTATTCGTTAATATTGGTACATTTACTCTTCAAGAATTTAAGGCCACTTAATTCATTATTCAATTTTAAGCTTTGAACATTGTTACATTTTTATAAATTATAATAAATAAAAAATTAAATAAATATTGAAAAATAAATTTTCAAAAATGACGTTTAATATCTTTTATTGCATAATATATTATTGAATTATTAATATTATTTGATAGGCAACAATTAAATAATTAAAAAATTATTATTTTATTATAAATTCACAAAAAATATGCAATATGCAGTTGCATATGCAAAAACATATTTTATGCATATTGCATATAATATGCAAAATATGCACTAACAAGTAGTGTCTATAAAATACAGGCAATTGTATATGAATCGGCTGTCTACTGATAACCATTAATGTACCTAAGAATTGATGAATTATATAACTAATAAAAAAACGTTGACAACTTATAGGGTGTGTATAAACTAAAATTAACTACTCCCAAACAGTATTGGTTCAAATTGGTAAAATATGCAAAAATAACGAATTGTTTTCATTAGGATTAAAGTAGTGTTTTGACTAAGATGCCCCTCCCCCCCCCCAACCGTAAATAAGTTCTGGATCCGCGTCTGCAGCCTCACCAAACCAGAACTTTTTTGCACTCTCTGCACTTAAGAGGCAACTGTGACTAATATGAATTCTTTTTACGTTTAATATTTGCAGAAAAAAAAAATGAAACTTATCTGTTTTTTTATATCATATATCTTGGTAAACGTTTCGGCAGATTTTGAAGGTATTTATATATTTTTTTCACAATTAAAAGCATAAGGTAGGTAATAAAAATTTGAAAAAATAAACAATATTTCACATTGTTTTACAGCGGAATACAAGAAACTTGTTTTAGTTACAAGTCAGTAACATTTTTGTTTTACCGAAAATATTATTTTAAGTTTTTTGAACTCAATATTTTCATACATATTTTTTAATTATGTACATATTACAGATTTATCCATCATGGAAGCTGGAACGAGTGAGATATGTTTAAAATTAAATTGTTAATATATAAATGGTTTGTTATGCGTACCTAATTGTCAAGTTTTTTGCAAATTTTAAAGTATAGTTTTTATCAATAGTAAAAAGTGCACCAGTGTACAGAACATTGTAATTTTGGAAGTAGGTAACGATTTCTAATAACCTAATCAAAAGAGTAGTGTTGAGGTAAATGGCTGTAGCTAAAAGCATGGTATAATTTTATTCTGAAGATTTATATGGTCATTAAATTTAATTTTAATTTTTTAGTATAGCCAAAATCTTTTTTTGTTTATTCTAGATAGAATGGAGGGAATAATTGAAGAAATGGTTAATGAGGCCAATCATTGCAACATTTTCGGTAGTCATAAATAAAATATTAATAATAATTTTAAAAAATAAGTGTAGAAAAAAATGTTTGAAAAAAATTGCAGCTAAAATTTATTTTTATGCAATCGATAAGTGATGCAAATATTAAATTTTCCTCCGAAAACTAAATGAAATATTTATGGAAAAAAACTGATAGTTTTAGCTCTGTTAAACTTACCTGCTCATTAAATTTTATTCTCATTCCCACGATTGTTTCAATTCAGCTAATGTATTAAGATTCCCTTGTCTATTTAATATGATTTTTTCTACTTTGACATTCAACTTCTAATTTATAATTATATAATGTAATATTTTATAAAAGCAAAACGAATTCAATACTATTAATTTATGTAACGTCAATTTCAGGCAAACTTAATTTAATGATCGCTGTACCAGGTAAAAGTTTTCGTAGAATTTTATGAAAATACTTCCAATATTTCATTCCTATTTAATTTTCCAAAGAGATTCCTATTGTATTTAATATACAGTGAAGCATATTATTTTCGAGTCGCTAATACACACATTTTTTTCCACCATATGTTTTAAATAGGAAGATGGAGATAACTTCCTCTTTATAAAATAATTGAAAATTAAATGCAATATCTTTAATTTATGTAATGTTAATTTCAGACAAATTGTATAATCCCATCTGTATACCGGGTAATCATTTTCATTTACATGTTTCCAGACAGTATTTTTTATGCACATACAATTTTTGTTTTAGTTTCAGATTTGAGACCCATTTCAAATATGGACAGTAACCACATTTTTATATAACATATTTATTATATATATATATATACTTTGACAACAATCACCTATTCACAAAAACTATTGACATTTGGTTTCAATCATAAAACATAATTTGTAGGTAGGTACATTAAAATATATTTGTTTTTAATTTTAGAATTGCTTGATTACCAGGACTTTATGGGATGGAAAATAAGACGCGCATTAGGTAAATATTAAATTTTAAACATTTATATTTACACTAGTTTTGAAGTTCTTAAGAAATACTTTTATAATTAGGCCTTAATTTGATATAAACTGATTATTAGTACGTTGCTACTAGAAATAATTTAACATCTATACAATAATATTTTACATTAAGAAATCTCTTACATGCGGTCTGTTTTTAAAGAGTTTTGTAAGGCAATATTTAAGAAAAAAGTGGTTTTTATCAATTTCGACCATGTTATTTAATGTTAGGTAATCAATTTTAGTGGATCCAATTTAGATTATTTTAGTAAAATTAAAATTTTGTCAAGAGATTCGTGTTCTTTTGATACTTTACTGTGTTATGAAGAAAACCGATTTTCATTTAAAAACAAGTATTCACAGTACAAGCAGTTACATAGGCACATGTATATGTGTCTTTATATTCAAGTATAAGACCCTGGATCTTTTTGGTACTTTTATTATCTCTAATCTCTTATCTCCTATCTTTTATGGCATTATCCAAATGTACCCGTCATGCAATTCTATCCCATCTTTCCGTACATTGGGTTTTATTAACTGCAATAGGATTAATCAATGTATTTGTTACAGGAATGAGATATCCTAACATTAATAGAAACCAAGGTAAATACGAATTTTTCGATAGTCGTAAACAGCCTAGTTTGTTTTAGAGTGGAAATTTGCCTAATTTTTTTTATTTACACTTCGCAAAAGAAAAACAAATTATAACTATATATAATATCGTTGAGTATATATTGTATATACTCAATGATAATATATATAGATATACACAATTAGCAACCTAGACATTTAGTTTAACTAAAATGTTTTTCATTTTTATTGTTTTCTTTCAAAAATATTCATTTTCCTAGATTATAGAAGCTTAGATTTGAGAGCCCTTGCACAAGATAGAAGAAATCTTACTGGACCAGCTTTAAAAAATATAATCAATCGTGTATTAGGTAAATAATATAAATATGGAGTTGTATGGATTTTTAATCATTTACCTATATCTATATATATATATATAATATTTAGGTAATTAATAGGAATAAATCACTAAAAAATAACAGTATACAACTAATTTTCATTTTAAAAATTAAACAAATAAGTGATGATACATACCCCCTTGTAATACAAACAGAATGGTTGTACAATATGAACACCAAGAACATTCTTTTTTTTACGTGTTTATTTTAACAAATATGACAGTAGTGTCCTGCGCCAAAAAAAATAAGAAACTGGTTAGCTAGTTTTAGCAAATTAATAAAATAAAAATGTTATAATCTCTTAGATGAACCTGTTCAAGATATTCCGGATGATGATGACTTACCAATGATGTGCTATTTAATTGGATTATACATGAGTACAAAATTTCCAACGTCATATATAAGAAAAATTCAGATTGACGCAATTAGTCATACGTGTACCCTATCGAATGCATATTCAGACAAAATATACACAAAAAATGGTGGCAGTTGGAGACAAATTAACGAAAATGGTACAGTAACACAATTACTTAAGGACCAGTTAGTATAATTAGAACAGGAATCAATGGTATAAATCTGCTAAAATTATCAATACCATTGATGTTTTATTAATTTAATATTTTTATAAAGCACTAATATGTTTATTCATTTTGCACTAATAATAATTTTTAAATAATGTACTTTCCATAATAAACATTTATACAACATTCACTATTTCATTATAAATGTATGCATATCTTTTTGACAACCTGAGCTGCATATTTTTAGTACAGTATAATTTCTGCTTTGTTTGTTGTCTGTAAACACTATTTGCGATGTCGATTTCATCGAATAGAATTGAATAGAAATCCTATAACAATATCTTTAAATCAGGCAAAAAAATCTGTACTAGTACTTGTATTTATATATTTTGCAAGGTGTAATAAAATAAAAGCTAAAACAGTAATGTTTTTACAATAATTTATTTTTTCTCCTATTTGTGTGTCTGCACACAAAATACGGATGTCCCTAACTAGATTTTAGAGACAGAGAAAAGCTTGACCATTGTCATTGATTATTACAACGTTTAGCCATAGTACTACGTCTAGGGAATATACCGTACAAACTTGGAAGTAATTCGGAAGCAAAGGCTCGAGTCTTTTTTAATTTTTGGCTTAATAAAGTACTTTTCAGGTACGATTTTCGATCTATAAAATTTCTACATGAAAAAATCGGTTCAGCGGTTTAAGGGACCCAAATTTAAAAAATACATCTGGAAAAGATTATTTTTAAATCCTAGGTACTTAAAAAGTGATATATGAATATAAAAAATTATATACATTTCTTCTTAGTTTCAATTGAGCCGCAATTATATGAAAATTTAGTTGCTTGTCGGGCGATTAATGTAGTATAAAACACTTAGTTTTTTTTTTAAATGATACTACAATAAATATTTTTGTTAGATTTTAAAATTTCTTTAGGACTTTTACAATTATTTTCCGATCGATGAGTCAAAACGTTAAGTAGATTATTCTGAATCTAATTAATTCCCAGAGTACCACTATCAACATCTACATCCTGAAAATTCCCTAAATTTTTTTCCACTAGAAACATTTGTGTGATTAAAAAATAAACATTCGGTTTGATAAATCATCAAATGATTATAATAATTTACACAAAAATGTTATTCCAAAATGTTTGTGCTTTTATTAACCCATCCTCGTCAAGCCTTTGTACAAAATGCTAAATCCAATTTAAAATACATAATGTACGAATTTTCGTTACTCATTTGAAATAAATTTTCTTTTCTCAAATTAGCAATGTACGAAAATCAGCGCCTACAAATTTTTTTTTTTGTGTGCACTTACTATTAAAACTTAAAAAATAAATCATAAGTTGACAGTATTCTCGAAGCCGCCATACTATCTAAGCATTTGTGTACACAGATTGTTTAGCAACTGTTTTTTCGACTGCTAAATTATTTCAGTGTTCATAAAACAATATGCTGGGTGATTATTTCAACGATCTACACTAGTTTACTCAAAAACTACTTAGATTTTTAAAAACAGAATGTTTAATAATTTGTTTGTGTATAAAACACTAACTTATTATAAAAAAAACTTTTTTAACCTAACCTAACCTAACCTTCTAGCAGAACATTTTACTTAGGCACACAGCTTTATACTGTGATAATATATTTAATAAACGTTTGAGTGGCTTAAATTTTTCGGATTTTCGGATTCCGAGTAATTATTATTCTACATATATGGAGCATTTCTCAAATTTCTCAAGCCTTTATTTTTTTTTTGCAATCTTCACCACTTATCTTGACCGATATTGCCCTTTGTTAAACTGGACACGAAGCGTATCTCTCTCACGAATGGGCTTGTAGGGCCCATAAGGCTACTTGGGCTACCAGGCCCCGGGTGTTTATAAGTAGCGATTGCCACTTTCCATGTTTAAATAACTAAATGAATTGCAGGCACCCAAATGGTACACAGATCAACAAATAGTTCAAAACTATTAATAAGATGAATATATAAACAGAAAATGAATTTGTCTATTATAGTTGTTTTGAGTCTCCTTGTATTCGTAGCTTAGCCAACTCAATTCAAAATATTTTAAAACAATACAATGTACACAATATGACATTTTTATGTGGAAAAAGAATATGACAACCACTAGTAGCTTATTAACACCTTGAAAACACCATTAGTCATTTTATAGAAGGTTGACCTACAAGTCTTATCAAGAAAAACGAGAAGCTAGGTTTGATGTGTTCGTTGTGCGATGTCCCTACAAGTTTTTCAACAAAATCAACAAGTTAAGGGATGGATGTAATATAATTTTCAAAAAAAAAAATAATAATACTATTCCGTGCAACAATGTATTTTACCTTTAGGGGTTTTTTCGTTTAGAAAGTTTGCCATAGTCAATAGTAAGACCAAAATATAAAAAAAAATTCAACTGCTACTCTCTTGTGTAAACATTAGATATTATATGGTAGATTGTAAAATCTAGAGCTAAAAATAATACCTATAGCCAAAGTAATGTATGTAAATCATAAATCATAAAATAAACAAAAAAATGAACCAGCTGTGTAAAAAAACGAAAAAGTTACACTACAAAAAACAATTGAATTGTCTGTCGAAATATAAGCCTATCCGTATAAATCGTATTTAGTTACAAAAGACGATCAAGTAGAATATTTTCTAAGAAATTCAACCAGCTTAACCATTTCAGTAAGTATTTCCATATGATTTAGCGTAAAAATAATAGTCATAATATGTCTTAAAAAAAAATACATGAGCATGAGTTAATTGTTTTAGTGTGAAAAAAACATTAATAAGTATTTTAAATTTCTAGTTTTTTATCGGGTCTTAACACTGTTCTTTAACATTTTTTTTGAACGAACGGTTTTGTTATATTTGTTTTGGCCAGATGAAATATCATTCAAGTTCGATTTCTACCTTGCAATACAAAAAAATCAGCTTAGCGGTCTAGGAATTTTTGTGGATCTATTAAAAAAATGTATTTATTGATGTGTAATGTCACATCTTTTTTATCATTTTTTTTATAGTATCTTCGGTCGTCAAAAAAAAGGATTAAAAATCAGATTCTTTTGTAAAAAAAATTCAGCTCTCTATTAAAAATATTGATTTTTATTTCGCGTAACAAAGTCGTCAAAGTTATTTTTGTTGCCGAAATTTGAGTAATTGTCTAATATTTTTTTCAAAAAGCTGATGAAATTTAACATAAAATGTGTAAATTTCTAATTGGAATCTTTATAAAAATGCTTAGAAAAAAAAATGGGGTAAAAATGAATAGCAAAGTCGAAAAAACGGAAATTGTATTTTATTTTCACAATTATTTTAACCAAGAAATTTTACCCCTTTTTTATTTTTTCTGATCCTAATTTAAAATTCATATATTTTATGTAAAATTTCTTAATTTTTCTAAAAAAATATTAAGCTTTCGTGCCAAACCAAAACCTTCTAATCTCTGCACTTGAGGCAACTGTGACTAATACAAATTCTTAATATGTTTATTATTTGCAGAAAAATATGAAACTTATCTGTATTTTTATATCATTTATCTTATTAAATGTGTCGGCAGATTATGACGGTATTTATGTTTTTTACACAATTACCAACTTAAGATATATAATAAAAATTGGAACAAAATACAAGATTTCACTTTTATTTTACAGCGAAATATAAGAAACATGTTTTAGCTACAAGTCAGTAACATTTTTGTTTTATAAATAATAGTTTTTTAATATTTTAGAATTCACTATTTTGATAGATCATTTTTAATTATGTACATATTACAGATGAATCCATGCTGGAAGCTGGTACAAGTGAGATATATTTAACATTTAAATTTCAATACGTAAATGTTTTATTATGTGTACCTAATTTTCACGTTATTTGCCCATTTAAAAATATAGTTATATGCATTTAGTATAGACCAAATATATTTTTGTTTATTCTAGTCGGATTGGAACGAGTAATTGAAGAACTGGTTTATGAAGTCGAACATCACTACATTTTCGGTAGTCATAATTAAAATAATAGTATTAAAAAAAAAAAAATAGAGAAAAATATTTAAAAATAATATTATAAAAGTTGCAACTAAAATGTATCTTAATGCAATCGATAAGTGATGCAAATATTAAATTATTCTCCGAAATCTAAATGAATCTTTATGGAAAAAAACTGATATTGTTGGCTGTGTCAACTTAGGGTGATTAATATATTTTTTTCTCATTCCCACAACTGTTTCAATTCAGCCATTGTATTTTCATAATATTTATCTAGTCTAATTAATATGGGTTTTTCTTCTACTTCGATCTTTAACGTCTAATTTATATTTATTTAATGTAATAATTTATAAAATTAAACCAAATCCAATACTATTAATTTGTGTATATTTCAGGCAAACTTAATTGTATGCTTGCTGTACCGGGTAATAGTTTTTATAGAATTTTATGAAAATAATTCCAATATTTCATTTCTATTTAATTTTCCAAATAAATTCCTAGACGTATTAATATACAATGGAGCACATTTCTTAAGAGTTTCTAATACACTTGTTTTTCTTTTCTACCTTTATCTTCATTTTCCTGTTTGTAAAATAATAGAAAATTAAATGCAATATTATTAATTTATGTAATGTTAATTTCAGACTGCTTAGATGTTACCATCTGTATACCGGGTAATAATTTTCATTTAAATGTTTCCACACAGTAACGTTTGATATTCATTATGCATACAACATTTTTGTTTTAGGCTCGGACTTGAGATCCATCTCAGATACGGAGAGTAAACACATTTTATATATCATATAATTATTATATATAACGCATATTTCTTATATATATAAATACTACCTATTTACAAATACCAATATGACATTTTGATTGCAATCATATAATATGTAGGTAGGTATATTAATATTTATTTTGTTTTTAAATTTTAGAATTGCTTGATTACCAGGACTATATTGGATGGAAAATAAGACGTGCATTTAGTAAATATTACATTTCAAACAATCATAATTATACTAGTTTGAAGTACTTGTTTTAAAAACTATAAAAAAAATCGGTTTAAAGCTTAAAGTCGTAAAGCTATACAATATGTTTTATGTTTAAGCCTCTAATGATCATTCGAATTATAATATAAAAAGTTTATTAGTACGTTGCTATTAGACATAAAATACCAATTATGTAATAATATTTTGCATAAAGGAATTGCATGCAGTCTAGTTTCAAGGAGTTTTGTAAAGGCAATATTTAAGAATACTTGGTTTTAATCAACTTCGACTAGACAATTAATATCCCAATTGATTTTTATATGCTTCAATGTATTATTTTTAATTTATTTAATTTGTATTTTTAATCTTGTAATGTAGTCAAAATGTTGTCTGGCTTTTTAGTCTTAAGCGCCAAAAAACAGATTTCATACATACCCCTTAATTAAGTAGTCTTTCTTATTAATCTTGGTTTAAAGAGCGATTGTTTTAATGACAGGGCAAAAATGACACTATTTTTCTGTATTTAAAACAAATAAAAAAATTATAAAAATTCTATAGGGTAGGATACTCAAATCTACAGCACTTTATAATTGTTATTAATTAGTATTACATTATAACAAAAACAAAATTTTAGATTTAAATACACTATTTTGTACTTAAGATTAATTAAATTATTTTTATCATATGTAATAATATTTTGCACAAAGGAATTGCACGCGGTCTGGTTTTAAGGAGTTTTGTAAAGGCAATATTTAGGAAAAAAGCGGCTATAATCAACTTCGACTATGACAATTAATATTCCAATTGATTTTTATAAGCTTCATTGTATTATTCTTGATTTGTATAATTTTTTTCTATTAGTAAAAGTGTCAGTTTTGATTATTTCATACCAATTTTAAAGGATCCAAATTAGATTTTTTTACTACAATTAATATTTTGTCAAGTTATTTGTGTTCTTTGGATACTTGACTGTGCTATGTAGAAAGCCGATTTTCATTTAAGTATGTCAGTTTTTAGCTTCGATGCAAAACAAAGGTATTGGTTCTACCATGATGAGGGCTTTTTTTTTTGCCTGTACAACACTGTTACTTTTAACTAATCATCAAAGGGTTAGTTTGAAAGTGATTTTATCCGAGAGGACTAGTACAGTAGAGTTAGGCATAATGAAAATCATATCATTATTTTTTTTTATTCAAATTTACCCCGTTTGCAATTCTAACCCATCTTTCTCTAAATTATATTTAATTAACTGCAAAATGATATATTAATGTTTTTGTTACAGAAATTAAATATCCTACTATCAATAAAAACCTAAGTAAATACGATTTTTTCGGTAGTCATAAATAGCCTTGATTGTTTTAGAGTTGAAATTTTCTTCATTTTATTTATTTAATGTTTTATGTCATTATGAACGTTATGTTTGTAATTAAATTTTTACTACTAAACAAATTATAACTTTATATTATATATATTTATATATAAATATACACAATTAGCAACATAGACATTTAATTTAACTACAATATTTTTCGTTTTATTATTTCTTCTTAAAAATATTAATTTTTGTAGATTTTAGAAGGATAGACTTGAAGAACCTTGCACAAGATAGAAGAAATCTTACCCGACCAGCTTTAAAAAATATAATCAATCGCGTATTAGGTAAATAATATTTATATGGAGTTGTATGGACTTTGAAACATTTATATATATAAACCACTAAAAAATAACAGTGTACGACTAATTTTAATTTTTAACAATGAACCAAATAAAGTGATGATACATACTTTCTTGTAATACACACAGCATGGCTAAACAATACGGACACCGTGCCCATTCTGTTTTTATGATTTTATTTTAACAAACAAGATATTTGAGTCTTGCACGATAAAATTAAGTAGTAATCAATAAACTGATTTGAGCAAATTAATAATAAAAAAAATTGTTTCAATTTCTTAGATGGACCTGTTGAGAATATACCGAATAATGCCGCTTTAAAAGGGATGTGTACTTTGATAGGAATATACATGAGTGCAAAATTGCCAACATCATTTATAAAAACTATGGAGACTAACGAAACTAACCATACTTGTACCATTTCGGATGGAAGAATCAACAAAATATACAAAATAAATCGTGGCGTATGGGGACAAATTAGCGAAAACGGGACAGTACTACAACGACTACAGGACCAGTTATAATAATTAGAACAGGAAGCAATGGTAAAACTCCTCTAAAATTATAACATAATACCATTGTTGTTGTATTGAAATAGTATTTTTATAAAGCACTTATAATACTTTGTATTGCACTAATAATTGTCAAATAATTTAATGTATTCCACAATAAACAGTTTTACTCACATTTGTTGTTTATGTGTAGATTTTAAACAGACACTTCATACTTTTTACCATTTTGTAAAGAATCTATTCTGAAACATTTTCAAAAATAAAATTGTACTTATCCTTTGTACCGTCTCCATCAGTAGTCATTTCTTTGTCATTATTTATTCCTATAAAGTTTTAGGTCATTCCGCACACCTCCGTCTATATTTTGAGGGGCTTCAACGTTGTCTTCTTTCTATTTTAAAACCAAATCAGTTAATATTTGACCAATTTCATTTTTAAGATTTTGGTTGTACTGGAAAAGCTGGATGGGCGGTTTTTCATCATTATTGAGTTAGGGCAAATGCTATGAAAATCTGGCAAAAAAAAATGTACAAATAAGTAACCTCAATAATATTATAATATAATATTCGCAAAAACGGTTGGATCAATTCGACAACTTTATGAAACATTAATTAGGCATAACTCGATTGATACATTTTTTCACTCAATTATTTGTTTTTATAAAAATGTATAATCAAGTTTTCACAATAAACCGACAAAAAGTTGTGTACATTTATTAGAGTAATATTTTTGAGGATAAGTTTTTTTTTATCTGACTTTTATAGCTTTTGCCCTTTTTAGTAATTATAAAATGTCGTCCATTCACTTTTCCAGTACAACCGAAAAAAAAAACACAAAAAATTAGTTAGTAAATATAATACAGGGTGATTTTTTTATCGCAGGCCAGTCAATATCTCACTGAGTTTAATAGACTATTGATTTTTTTTTTCATAGGGTTTTTATATAATGTGATCTCAATTTTTCACAAATAATTATGTTTCTACCCCCTTCTTAAACTAGATTTTTTTTAAAAGCAGCTTTTGAAACTTGAATGGTAACATATATATTTTTTAAAATTAAGAATATTTTACTAAACATTTTGACTGGCCGACAACCAGTTTTGGATAACTATTTTTGAAGTTTCAAGTTTAGGGCAAGAAGAAAGTATATACCTTCAGCGAATTAAGTCCAAGTGCCTTGGGCTAACTTTTGATAAACGTCTCACATGTAGCTCACGTCTAAAACAAAAACGCAAATCTGTCAACTCCAGATTGCAGCTCCTAAGACCACTTTTAAAATCAAAATTGTCCTTAAAAAACAAGCTTACTATAATATACAAGTCGATAATTCATCCAGTCTGGCTCTACGGCACCCAACTTTGGGGGGACCGTGTCAAGCGTTTCAGTCAATTTGCCTACGCATAATATTTAGCTCTGCCCTTGGTATGTAACCAACTTAAACCTCCAGAAAGACTTGAAACTACTAACCTTTAACGAACTTGTCAGATCACACTGTAACAAATTTTATTCAAAATGACACTCTTATTCCAATCCGCTAATTAAAAAATTATACTCTGTCACTCTTATTCTAAGAAGATTAAAAAGACAATAGCCCAGGGACCTGCTTAACGCATAAAATCTTAACTATTCTTGTCAGGTGGCACTGCTGAGGGCCTTCCTATTCTAACATTAATGATGTCACTTTGTCATTGTCATCAGACTTACATATTATACATATTAGTCTGTATAGATTGTAAATAAAAGAATAAATAATAAAAAAAATGTTGTTTCAGCTTAAATTATAAAATAAAATAATCATAGAACCGTAAAAAATTAAAGATTTTTAATTAAGCCAACGAGATTTCAACGTTTATTTTACATATTTTTCATAAAAATAAGAATTGACTACCATTTTTTTTTTTAATAATTGGGACACACGATATTTATCCAAGAGTAGATATATAATAATTAAATTATTTTTAATTGTTAATTTACTCATTAAGTGTTTTCAATTTAGACAAATTAACATAGTAAATAGTTAGGCCAAAATGTAAAATTAATTTCAACTGCAACCCTCTAATGTAAATATTAGATATGATATGGGTTATTTTAGAACCTTGTTCTAAGAATAAGACCTATAGTCTAAACACGGCGTGGAAGTAATGTATGTTCAACCTAATCATAAAAAAAAGAACCAGCTGTCTATATAAATAAAAATAGTTACACTGCAAAAACCAATTCAGTCGATCAGTAGATTGTTGTCTAAGAACGTCTAAGAACGTCTAATTACGTTAAAACTTAAATAGCATGAGCTAACAAGCCAAAAGTTTTAGTGAAAAAAAAAAATAGAAATAAATACTTTTTATGTCTAGTTATTTTTTTTATCGGGTCTTAACATCGCCCTTTAACGACCTTTTTGAGCAAACGGGTTTGTAATATTTATTTTTACCAAAACAGATACAAATATAGCGTTTTACAAAATCCACATTTTGGAGTGAATTATTTTTTTATTATTAGCGCTGCACTATCTGTAGTATATATACATTTACAATAAGCGCAAGTGATAGAATTTATAAAATAACCAATATATTAAATATTGAGACCACAAGCTTGGATAAAGAAGCCAACCAATGTTTGTTGGTACTTCATGGCGTGTGGATGAGAGATATCTATAATATGAATATGAATTCATTTTATGTGTTTTATTTGCAGAAAAAAATGAAACCTATCTGTTTTTTTATTTTATTTGTCAATATTCTAAATGTTTCGGCACATTATCTAGGTATATATAATATCTTCACAATTATTAAATTAAGGTAGTTAATAAAAATTGGAACAAAGAACAATATTTCAATTTTGTTTACAGCGGAATATAAGAAACAGCTTCTAATTACAAGTCAGTAACATTTTTATTTTATCAAACACAGTTTTCTAAGTTTTTAAAATTCAGTGTTTTCGAACATATTTTTCAATTGTGTACATATTACAGATGTATCCATCATGGAAGCTGGTACAGGTGAGATATATTTAAAATTTAAATGTTAAGATATAAATGTTTTTTTATGTGTACCTAATTGTCAAGTTTTTTGCAAATTTTAAAGTATTGTTTTTATCAATAGTAAAAAGTGCACCAGTGTACAGTACATTGTAATTTTTAAAGTAGGTAACGATTTCTAATAACCTAATCAAAGAAGTAGTGTTGAGTTAAATGGCTACAGCTTAAAGCGTAATTTGATATAACTATTAAGTACTTAATTCAATTTGTTAGTATAGCCCAAATCATTTTTGTTTATTTTAGATATATTGCAGCGAATAATTGAAGAAATGTTTAATGAAGTCAATCATTGCGACATTTTCGGTAGTCTTAATTAAAATAATAATAATAAAAAAAGAAGAAAGTATAGAATAATATTTTGAAAATTGCAACTCAATTTTATCATTATGCAATCGATAAGTGATGTAATTATTAAATTTTTCTCAGAAATCCAAATGAAATCTTTATGGGAAAAAACTGATATTGTTGGCTGTGCCCTGGCGATTATTATGTTTTTTTCTCATTCCCACAACTGTTTCAATTCAGCCATTGTATTCTCATAAAGATTCTACCCAGTCTATTAAAATGGGTTTTTTTCTACTTTGACCTTTAACTTTTAATTCATACAACGTAATAATTTATATAAGTTAATTAAATCCAATATTATTAATTTATGTAATGTCAATTTCAGGCAAACTTAATTTTATGATCGCTGTACCAGGTAATTGTAATTAGTAGTATTAAAATTGTATGAAAATATTGCCAATATTGCCAATATTGCCAATATTTCATTCCTATTTAATTTTCCAAAGAAATTCCTGTCGGATTGAAACAGTGGAGCACATTTCTTCCAAGTTACTAATGTAACACATGTTTTTTTCAACCTTGATCTTCATCTTTCTGTTTATAATATAAAAGAACATTAAATGCAATATCATTAATTTATGTAATGTTAATTTCAGACAAACTGGATTTTTCCATCTGTATACCGGGTAATAGTTTTTATTTATTTGGTTCCACACAGAAGTTTGATATTCTTTATGCACACAACATTTTTGTTTTAGATTCAGATTTAAGACCCATTCCAATTATGGACAGTAACCACATTTTTATATATCATATATTTATTATATTTAACGTATATTCATTATATATAAATACTAGATGTAAAGATGTAATATTTAATGTAGGTACATTCAATAATATTTTGTTTTTAATTTTAGAACTGCTTGATTACCAGGACTTTATGGGATGGAAAATAAGACGTACATTAAGTAAATATTAAATTTGAAACATTTATAATTATACTAGTTTGAAGTTATAAAGAAAAACATCGACCTAAAGCTTTAAGTCATAAAGCTATACAATATGTTTTATATTTAAGCCTCTAATGACCATTCGAATTATAATATAAAAGGTTTATTAGTACGTTGCTATTAGACATAATTTACCAATTATGTAATAATATTTTGCATAAAGGAATTGCATGCAGTCTAGTTTCAAGGAGTTTTGTAAAGGCAATATTTAAGAATACTTGGTTTTAATCAACTTCGACTATGACAATTAATAATCCAATTTATTTTTATATGCTTCAATGTATTATTTTTAATTTATATAATTTGTATTTTTAATCTTGTAAAGTAGTCAAAATTTTGTCTGGCTTTTTAGTCTTAAACGCCAAAAAACAGATTGTATACATACCCCTTAATTAAGTAGTCACTCTTATTAATCTCAATTTAAAGAGCGATTGTTTTAATGACAGGGCAAAAATGACACTATTTTTCTGTATTTAAAACTAATAAAAAAATTATAATAGATCTATAGGGTAGGATACTCAAATCTACAGCTTATTTTTATTTATCACATAATCAGTCAGAAATCAGTATCCGCTGATGACAATAACCAATACTTCAAACAGGGTGACTATTTAATATATTTTTATCTCGCGATGAACATACAGTTCATCACAGTGAAAACAGTATCCATCGGAATTATTCAAAATTTACCCCGTTTGCAAATCTGGCCATCTTCTACTTCATTGATTTTCTTTTTAATGCACAATGATTTGATGTATTTGTTACAGGAATGAAATATCCTAATATTGATAACAACCAAGGTAAATACGATTTTTTCGGCTAGTAAATAGCATTGCTTGTTTGATAGTTGAAATTTGCTTAATTTTATTTTTTTAATGTTTTATGTAAACGAAAAACAAATTAAAACTATATATATATAGATAGATATACACAGTTAGCAACCTTAACATGACATTTAATTTTAATTTAACCAACATATTTTTTTTTTTTATTCTTTCTTTTTAAAAAAAATATTTTTTGTAGATTTTAAAAGCTTAGATTTGACAGCCCTTGCACAGGATAGAAGAGATCATACTGGACCAGCTTTAAAGAATATAATCATTCGGATATTAGGTAAATAATTTTAATATGGAGATGTTTGGATTTTGAGTCAATTATACATATATTTATATATTAAGTTTATTAATAGGAATAAATCACTAAAAAAACACAATTTATAACTAATTTTAATTTTAAAAATAACCAAATAAGTGATGATACACACTTTCTTGTAATACAAACAGTATAACTGTTCAGTACTGATACCAAAATATTTTTATGACTCTATTTTAACAAATATGACTGTGGCGTCCTACACCAAAAAAAAAAAGAAGAAACCAATAAACTAATTTGAGAAATTAAAAAAAAAAAAAAATTATTTTATTTTTTAGATGAACCTGTTCAGGGTATACCGGATGATATCGCTTTGAAAAGGGTGTGTAATTTGATAGGATTACACATGAGTGCACAATTTCCAGCATCATATATAACAAAAATTCAGATTGACTTAACTAATCGTACTTGTACCCTATCGAACGGATATACAGACAAAATATACAGAAAAAATGGCGTTTGGGGACAAATTAGCGAAAACGGTACAGTACTACAACGACTAAAGGACCAGTTGGTATAATTTAGAACAAAATCAATGGTATAACTGTTCTAAAATTATATAACACCATTATTGTTGTATTGACATAATATTTTCAATAAGCACTAATATCCTATTTAATATTGCACTAATAATTGTCAAATAATAATTTAACGTATTCCACAATAAACAATTTTACTCACATTTGTTGCATATATTGTGTAGTTCTAAACAGACATTTCATGCTTTTTACCATACTATAAAGAATCTATTCTGAAACATTTTCAAAAATAAAATTGTACTTATCCTTTGTATCCGTCTCCATCAGTAGTAATTTCTTTGTCATTATTTATTCCTATAAAGTTTTAGGTCATTCCGCACACCTCCATCTATATTTTTGAGGGGCTTTAACGTTGTCTTCTTTCTATCTTTGGATTTCTTGGGTCCCGTCTCACTAATTTTTCTGCTTAGATGTAACTGATTGACTTAAATAAAATCATAAAGTCAAATAATATAATAAGACAGTGATAAAATCACTTTAGAAAAAACGTTTCGTTGCAAATCGGTAGTTAGTATTTTCAAGCCAGTACAGTCTAAACCAAGCACAGTATAAACCAGCAAAATTAGAAAGTATTAAATTGAGGTGCTGTATTTACAAATAAGCATTAAAGCGTTAATTTGAAAGTGATTTTATCCGAGAGGACTAGTGCAGTAGAGTATAGGCATAATGGAATTAAAGCAACGAGGGGACGAAGAGGTCACAGGTCTAAAGGAATTATTATAAATAAAAATGATAAAATTGAATAAAATCACTTTCAAATAAACGCTTTGATGCTTATTTATAAATACAGCACCTCAATTTAATACTTTCTAACTTTGCTGATTTATACTGTGCTGTTGGCTTGAAAATACTGAATACCGATTTGCATCGAAGCGTTTTTTCGAAACTGATTTTATTACTTTCAGATTTAAAAATTCCTGTAAATCTGTGACCTCCCCGTCCCCACTATGCTCCGTTCCCACTATGCCCTGATCCCACTGTACTGGGTTTTTTTTTTGTGCAAAAACATAGCGGACCAAATAACACATATACAATGTCTTGTTAAATTTAGTTGGAATAGTCGGCGATTCATTTCAATCGTTTGTACTCCATAGTTTAAATTATAATCGTTTATTCTCAATAAAATTAATATTTATGTATTATATACTTCCATTAGAGCAATCTCACACTAAAAAATTGTGTAACATGAAATACATTTTGGGTCGGTAGACTGCATAAAAACCAACACTTAATCTGAATCCAATATACAATAACAGTCCTCTTCATAATTTGCAGGTAGTTGGACCTTATATACTCGTAGTTGACCTTCGGTACGGTCGTCCGCGGGCGATAAAATAACGAAATAACGTCGGTGGTTTTGCCGTGTTAGAACTTAAAATGTCTTAAAAAGTAGACGGATCGGGTTTTTTCCCAATAAATCGTGTATCTACCGTAATCAGGTACACGATTTAGTCGTCTGTGATGTCATGTAATAAACACAACATTATGATACCGACCGTTGGGTCCTAACCTAACCTAACAAGGGTTGACGTTACCAACCGAAAGTTTTTGGCGTCTGTTCGTTTCTCACATCTGGTACACCGTGTTTGTAGTTTTTTTTTTAAGATTTTTTGTGTTTTTGTTAAAATATCTGCGAAAACACAGTTTTCCGGCAATTAAAAAAAAACAGTTGTGCCGAATTTTTTTTCCGTTTAATATGTTATGAATACATATGAGTTTTTTACTACTGACAAATTGTCAACTTAAAGGTCTTAAAACTACGGCTAAAAACCCCAAAAAACAAAAAACCTATACCTCTCCTAGGAAGGTGGGAAATGGGTATAATTTAAATTTGATACAACTGACGTGTGAGGGCAAACGAAATAGATATTTGTAATAAATTTCAACTCGATCCGACTCTTTTTCTCGAAATTATAGCCAGTAAAAGTCTAACTTACAAACTCGTACAGTTTTTTTTTTGTTTTTTCAAAATTGACTGCGAAGAAGTAAACTTTATCAACTTTTACCCCCAGTAGTGTCTACTCGAAGGAATTGGTTCAGTATTAAAAAAGTTACAGAGTAGTGCCGCTCTGCATCGAAGCTAAAAAATGTGTTGCTATTTGAAAATCAAAAGTTGATATAAAAATAACTAGTTTGGGATTATCATGATCACATTATATAAAAACATTTTGGAAAAAAAAAATTCAATTATTAATTAAACCCAGTGAGATATTGAGTGGTTCACGATAATGGATCACCCTGTATAGAAAAAGAGAGGTAGGCACTCTAGGTATATATCTCTAGCATAACAAACGCTTTTAGGTACTGCTGATCGCAGAAAATGCATCGCCAATTGCCAATATTATAATATATGAACATTTTGGAGATCTTTATTTATTTATGACACTGAATTACGATACTATACATATGGAAAAAACCAGAAGAATTTGAATTGAAAATCTAGGTACAGCTTAACAACACAGGTTGTATGATGAGCCAAATCTCCACCCGGAAGTTATGCTTTTATAGTCAACGGTCATAACTAAAGGGGATCTATCTAATTATACGGCTTGCGTTTAAATCTGATCATGTTGTCCGGCAGCAAACAAACGCATATGACAATCGTGAACATAACCGGTACCAATTAAAATTTGAATAATAACGGTGAGTATGACATTGACCAAAAACCACAGATATCGGTAACAAAAGTATAAACAATCGAACAAATTTTGTTACCGCTATAATAACAGAAGATTTCTGTGGGAAAAATCCGATGTAAAAAAAACACATAATAATTATTTTCTACAACGACCTACACTAATAATAATTAACCTATTTACAGGAAATTTTAATATTATGCGACCCGAAAACAAACCAATCCGACGAACCGATACCGAATGCATAGTTTTAAAACAATTGTATCATTTATTCGAGATGGTTTTATTCAACGAACAAAATTCAACAATCTCTACGTTAACTGATATTCCTATTGTTTTTGCTACCGCAGCATGTGTTTTGTTTGTATTTATATGTTTCCGTTATAGGAATTTGGTAATTGCAATTTTCAGCATCATGAAGTGATCGACTACAAAACTATTAGCCGATGGTCGACTGGCAGTTTAGTTCAAGTTCCAGCGTTAGTAATTCACATTCGACCTACTGTCAATTGACCCAATCGGTTTAACGCTGTTTGAGTAATACATACGACTAGCAAAATGCTTCGATACAGTATAATGATTTTGATTTGTATTGAAATGATAACGGCACCAGCAACTAAACCGCCAACGTACTACCCAAATCTTCCAATGGTAATACAAAAACCACCCTTGTTATCAAGGCAGTGTGATTTATTATAAAATTTCTAAATTAAAATTCCATTTTTTTTTTCATTAGTTTTGGAATTTTTTTCTTTTGATCCAAATTCTGTTTTTCATTCATTATATTTTGTTTACTTGTATTGTACTTTGTATTTTATTTTTCGTATTGTATTTGATTATTTTGTCCATTTAGTTCTTCTTTTTACTTTTACTCTATTTCCTTGAGGGTATCAAATAAGTATTATTATTATAAGACAGTCCATTTCTCTTAAAATAATTGAAATTTTTTAGGGTTTTTTGTTTTACATTTTTTCTTATGTTCGAGCTTTGGGGAAATAAAAAATACAAATTTTAAGTATTGTCTAAAATTATGAAACAGCATAAACTAAAGAGAAAAAAAACCACAAAAATTGCAATTATTTTAAGAGAATGTGAGTGTGTTCTTCTTAATGGATCACCTTGTGTATCACCATTTAAAAATTACCATGCTCGAAATAATTTTAGGGGAATATAAATTAAAAATTAAGGCTTGCACTCCATGTGAGCACTTTGAGTACGCCAAGGTACACCTTAACCTCTACGTAAGTAGAACAAGTGCTAATTTATATGAAATAAAAGGCAATTTAACATATTTGGTTCAATTTGACGATTCGTTAACTGTGAGCAATTTTTATTTACTTATAATCAGTAGCTGTATTTTAATTATGCTTTGTATGTTTACACATTTTAGCTTCGATATCTGCGTTTTTTTTTTATACTTTGACTAAACTATAATTGCAATTTATTTTATGATGATAAATAGTTTTGAGACATAATATAATAAATTTACTAATTCATCAAGTCCATTTTAAAAAGCAACTGTAATTGATACCACTATTACAATGACTTTAATTAATTTATATTCAACACTTTTTATAATTTATAGATTTGCTTCGAAGCGTTTCTTGAAAGTAATTTTATATAACATTCAGTTTAAATCAGTCCAGTAGACCTGTTAACTCACCGCTTCACTAAGGCCTTACCTCAATGTACTGTTTTTTTTTTTAAATATAAATTTTAAAGCTGATCATACTTTTTAGACTGAACTTAATTTTGCTAAAAAGGTCTATTGAGGCTGGGCTGAAAATTATTACGTTTTCACGACGACCAAAGCTTGTTCGAAATTGAGATGGCTGTTAGGAAATGCATTTGGTGCATACAAGAAAGCGTTTAATTTTAGTACTGATTGCCCAAGAAGGCCGGTAATGTTGAACAGATTTTTCAAACTTGGTCTATAATTAATATTCTTTTATAATTTTCTTACACAGGGAGTTTATGTGTCGAACGGACTCGACATGGAAAAGGTGAAGGATCTTAATTTTCCAAAGACATTTTTTTATGGTGAATATAGATTGAAAATCGCCCTCTATAGCCCGGCCGGCGAAAAACTTGGTTGTATCTATTTTTTTTATAGAGGTTGTACGTCCATGGGAAGTATAGTTTAGCTCTTACTGTTTGTGCCACGCAATCAAATACAATAATAATTATTACTTTTAAGATAATTCGGATATTACATCGATATTAACAATAATAGTAATTTCACACAATATTATATTATATTGAAATAGGCTCGTGTGAATAATATCAATCGAATTGGCGAGTAAAATGTATGCAATAACAAACTGGCCGGATTAAACACAATATGCAAATATCTAAACCACTTAAATATATGACAAACAATAACCAAAAAACATCAATTTTTTGCTTGATCCGATTTTGAGATTTTTTCTAACACGTCAACATTTTAAGTTTTAAAATAGATTTTTGGTGTTTTTACCGTGTTTATTCCGTTCAATTAATTTGCCTTAATTATGTAATGAATAGAGCTTTTTACTATAATATTATTTACTGAATAGTTTAGAATTTGTAATTACTTTTTTTACTCAAAAGAATACTGGTAAATCTTAATTTTTATTCTACAAGTTAATTTGCAACTTTTGATGCAACTAAAAAAATTGTCTCCATTTTTCTTCAATTTTTCAATAGCTGGATGTGCTAATGAAAATTAGCCACCCGGTTTTAATTCGGAGATAAATAAATGTACTGATGTATTTTGGTTCTTGTTTCAAAATTGTATTTTATAGTTTGAATGATAAAAAAAAATTTAAGAAGAAAACAATAAAACGATACTGGATGATAATAAAACAAATTACAATTAGTGAACACAATACAGTGATATTTAGCGATATAATAACAAATAATATTATTCAAAAATACATTATAAGTTGGGAATCGATGCTCACATCGAGAGATTCAAACCTAAGACTTGTACTTTATTACTCAAAACTTGAACACTCTAAATAGATGTTCATAATAATATTGGAATGGTTTGAAAATTTTATTTCAAGATTTAACGTGTTTATGTTAAAATATACAAAATCTGCGAAAAACACATAAATGGCTTAAATAAAATATATCAACTGCAACTCTCTAATGTAAACATTAGGTTTGATATGAGTTATTTTAAAACCTTGTACTAAAAATAATACCTATAGTCGAAACACGGGGTCAAAGTGATGTATGTTCACTAAAAATCATAAAAAAACGAACTAGCTGTGTAAATAAATAACAATAGTGACGCTGCAAAAACCAATTCGATTCTGAATTGTCGGTCGAAATATAAGCCTATCCTCAAATCGCAAGAAGAACATAATTTCAAAAGTCAATCAAGTTGATTAGTATCTAAGAAATTCAATCAGCTCAACAATTTCAGTAAGTATTTGTACATCAAACCCTAAATGTTGTAATTACGTTAAAACTAAAAAGGCATGAGCTAGCAAGCCAAACGTTTTAGTGTAAAAAAAACAGTAATAAGTACTTTTTATTTCTAGTTATTTTTTTATCGGGTCTTAACAGCTTCCTTTAACAACCTTGTTAAAGTTAACGGTTTTGTTATATTTATTTTTACCAAAACGGATACAAATGTAGCGTTTTATAAAATCCACATTTTGGAGAGAATTATTTTTTTTAATTTTTAGCACTGTAAAATCTGTAAAAACTATGTATTTACAATAAGCACATGTGATAGAGTTTAAAAAATAATAAATATATTAAATATCGAGACTGCAGGTTTGGATGAAGGAGTCAACCAATGTTGACGTTTGGATAAGAGAACTCTATAATCTATTTTTTTTTTTTTTATTATTTAGCTTGATGTACTTCGTTACTTTTGTTAGGTATTTTACACAATGCAAATTAAATAGCTACCGGAGATCAATTTTTTTATTTTTGTCTATCTTCGTTAGGGTGAACTAACTAAAATTTTAGCCGGGTAAAGTATCTTTCAAGTTCCATGCGAATCTGTACATAGTACAGTAAAACCCAAATACAGTTCAAACCAAGCACAGTGTAAACCAGTACAGTCAAAATTAGTAAAGTTTAAACCAGTTTGGTCGAAACCAAGCACATTAGGGAATTACCAAATTAAGATCCAGTATCCACAGATTCGCATCGAAGCGTTTTGTGATTTTATAGTAACTTTACTCTGCCTTACTAACGATTTGGTAGTGAGGGGATTGCTTTTAAACTTTTCATTATTTTCATACTAGAGAGAGACCTTCTCTGTTCCCCTTTACTAACAACGTTAGCAATGGCGATGCGGAAACGCAAGATAAAAGAAAGAATTTAGTTGGTTGGCATTAAACTTAATAGAATTTACAGTACTAGATTCTAGTACTCGAAATCAAGTTATATGGAGAAAATATAAAATCACGTTCAATAAAACGCTTCGGTTCTGTGGATACCGGACCCTACTTTGGTAATCTCTTACTGTGCTGGTGTTAACTGTGCTTGGTTTCGGCTATACTGGTTTAGACAATACTTGGTTTGTACTTATACAGGTTTAAAATTTACTAATTTGGACTGTGCTGGTTTTCAATTTTATTTTTCGGGATTGGGAGAGTAGATGGAGAAAGGAGTAAATTTATTAGCTAAACAGTAAAAAAAAAAAACAGTACAGTGGGGTCGGGGCATAGTGGGAACGGAGCATAGTTGGGTCAGGGCATAGTGGGGACGGGGAGGTCACAGGTTTACAGGAATTTTTAAATCTGAAAGTGATAAAATCACTTTCGAAAAAACGCTTCGATGCAAATCGGTAGTTAGTATTTTCAAGCCAGTACAGTCCAACCCAAGCACAGTATAAACCAGCAAAGTTAGAAAGTTTTAAATTAAGGTTCTGTATTTACAAATGAGCATCAAAGCGTTAATTTGAAAGTGATTTTATCCGAGGGACAAAGAGGTCACAGGTCTAAAGGAATTATTATAAATAAAAATTATAAAATTGAATAAAATCACTTTCAAGTAAACGCTTTGATGCTCATTTGTAAATACAGAACCTTAATTTAAAACTTTCTAACTTTGTTTTAATGATTTGATACATTTTTTTTAAAGATTTTAGGTGTTTTTGTTAAAATATACGCAATCTGCGAAAACACAGTTTTCCGGCAATTAAAAAAAACTGTAGTGCCGAATTTTTTTTCCGTTTAATATGTTATGGATACATTTGAGTTCCAACTACTGGCAAATTTTCAACCCAAAGGTCTTAAATTACGGCTAAAAACCCCGAAAAGCAAAAAAACTTGTACCCCCCTAAGGGGGTGGGAAATAGGTA